GCACACTTTGATTCGACCATGACTTTTTCGTAATTTCCATTGTCCTCGCACAATGACAATAAAGTTCTTGAATCTCGACTCTGAATGTGAACAAACTGAAACTAACTGACTTCACATCAGATATTTGTGGTTTTTACAGGGGAGGTTGCTGTGAGGTGCAATAAAAATCCTCAATTCTCTAAACATCCATTTGCTCTCAGCTGTCAGCTCCTGCAGTGTTTTCTTTCTTCCAGTTGTCTGCAGGTTTTCACCATCGGGGGCCACAGATCAGTTGGGTGAACTGTTTTCTTTCTCTGTGTCGGCTGTTTGACTGCTGACAGGCTTTTATTCTGGCGAGACAAAAACAAGACAAACCACCTTTCCAATGCTGCCCAGGTGTGTGTAAACACAGAGAAGCGGGGGAGGGTGCACACATAGGTGTACATATTCATACACAGAGAAAATGTTTACGTGTGTGTGTGTGTGTGTGTGTGTGTGTCTCTTCAAACCCCTCCTTACCCAAACAGAATGAGCGCCTCCTGGGCAAATATTTAAAGTCAAAACAGGCCGGGCCCATAAAAAGCTGAGAGGTGGAGGTGGTGTGGCTACATCTGTCGGTGGGGAGGGAGGGAGACTTGTGAGGAGAGGACTTGGGGGTGGGGGGGGAGGCAGCAGCTGCTGAAATGAGTCTGGACACTGCTGACACCAACACCTGTCCATACTGGAGACACGGGGCCAGCAAATGTCCAGCCACAGCCCTGCAAACACACACACACACACACACACACACACACACACACACAGGATCACGTCACATACATAAAAACATGCATGATATTATCTAACTGTGGAAGAAGCCATTGGATAAACTCACTCACATGAAGTCTCTCGAATACAGACTGAGACACACACACCTAACCCAGCCCTTTGTCGCGCACCACACCCCTCTCCTCTGGCTGACCCCCATCTGTTGCCTCCCTGGGGAGTGTGTGCGTGCATCTGTGTGTGTGTGTGTGTCTGTGTGTGTAAGAGTAGGAGGTCAGGGGAGGGGACAGGCAGGCGTTGGCCCCGGCTGCCCATTGATCAACAGCTGCTAGGCTTCTCATGCCGTGCTGGACGGCTGGGGAAGGTGACAGCAGCTGGGTCGGGGAGAAGGTAAAAAGCTCAAGGCCAGAGGCTGGGACCTGGGGCTGGAGTTGACGCCGGGGGCCGGGGGTTGAAGTTTACAGGCTTGGGCCTGGAGTAGCTGGGGTTCAGGAGAGCCAGACACAAGTGAGTTTTCATCAGAGGGCAGAGAGGCGATGGGGGGAAACAGACGAGGAATGGAAGTGCCAGAGATGGACAGCGAGGCCTTGGACAGCAGCCAGATGCTGTGCAGTGTGCGGATGCCAGACAGAGACAATGAGGTTAGATAGAGCAGAGCAGGAGTGTGTCTGAAACACACTAAAACATATTAGGTTTCATGTGAACATGTGTAAAGAGAGAAGTGTTGTTGCTGATTACAGTGGCCACACAAAGAAGGAGGAGACGTTCAGCAGGATTCATGATATTACTTCATGTTGCTCCCACGAAAAGCTCTTATCACACTGTGAAGTTGACATGAATGTTGAAAAAAACTATGTTGAAAGAATTTAAATCCAAGATTTGGGGACAAGGTGCATTTAATTTGAAGCTTTCCACAAGATGATTGCTGCTTTAAAGAATACTATAAATACCAAGGTGTAACACACTGTATTATAATAATGTAGTGAAGTAGAAAGTTCAGATAAATACATCTAGTACAGTAATCAAGTAAATGTACTTGATCTACTGAAATCCCCTCTGTGGTAGTTCCTGCCACATCTCGACCATGATGACACACACAAGGTGAAAAAACAAAAACCATCTTCGCTGTCACTCAAGTTATTTTCAATAAAGATGGAATAATACAGTAAACTGCAGACAGATGGATATTCCTCTTTATTCACTGTTCCTCGTCTCTCTGGGGATTCTCTCTGAACAACAGTCGCCTACAGAGCAGAACTAAAATGGCTGGAAAGGTATAGTCACAATATGGTCAAGCTGAAGCTTCTGCCTTTGTCGATGCTCACAGGAAGCTCTTGAAAACGATGCCTCTGGGTAATTTTCTAAAAAACAAAGTCTGGAAAACATCAAAGTCAGTTTATTCAGCTGCAATTAATTCTTCTGCCTTATTTTAATAAACTACATACTCGATGAATGTTGAGCTTAACTGAAGCAGAAATGTACTAAAAAGTTTTCTCGTGGAGAAAGTCGGATCTGACTGCTGACGTTTCTGCTGCGACTGTTGTTCGCAGGACATGTTGGCGTGTGGGGCTCGGCCTTTAACAGGAGCTGATATACGAGCCGACAGCTGTTAACAGTGTCGACCGTCACACATCTGCTGCCGCGGCCTCTTTTTACAGAGCGGCCACAGTTCAGGGGTTGGGGGGGGCTGGAAAGGGGGAGAGACAGAGAGAAGAGGTGCAGCAGGTGAACGAGGGCCCGAGAGAGACAGTGGGTAAAAACAACTTTGTGTGGCTTTTTACGGCCGTGCATTCCACAGGGAGGTCACAGTCACAGGTCGGATCAGGTGGCGGTTTGCTGGCTTGCTCGAGAGCACTGCGGAAGAGACAGAAGAAAAGTGTTGGGACCACCCGCTTTAACAGAACTGGTTGAAGGATAGAGGCTTCACGGAAGGAGCAAAAATGTTGTGGAATGTTCCTGTCAAATGTGAGAATGTAGAAAAATGTGCCCGAAGAAAAATCCAAACGCTCCTCGATGTTGACCTTTGCTCACAAGTCAGACCACCTTAAGAGAGAGCAGGTAACATGAGCTGAGGAGGATGTTAACTCACATTTCCACCTTAAACCAAGTCACCTCTGTCATGTCAAGGAATAGTCAGATATTTTAGGAAATGTTTTTGGTTTTAAGGAGATTGATTGGAGCTTGAGTCCGAGAGCCTCGCTTAGCATAGAGGCTCGAAAACAAAAATCGAATATAGCCTGGAGCTGTTAAAAACACAGACTGTGTATAAAGATGGACGACGCATCTCCACTTCCAGAATGAAGCTAAACTACCCCGGGAAACAAACCCTGACGTCTGAGGAGCCATTGATACACGCTGTGCAACAATCACAACTCAGTCTCAGCTGAGAAAAAGGAAGAACTAATAATACGACATTAAATAAACAAGATTTTACTTGAGTAAGAGTTTCCTGGAATGTGCAGGATCATTGTGAAATGTGAAAGTGAAGCATCACAAACACATTGAGCGGCTTCATTTTTTAGAGAAGAGATTGAAGGACAGCTGGATGATATGTCCGTACGCGGCTGTGTGTCATGTACGTCCAGGTCAAAGGTCAGCAACATGCAAAGGAAAGAAGTTCAGTTAATACAGAAGCTGAAAATGTGCATGTACGAGTGTGTTTGTGTTGACAGATGAGTGCATCAGAGCGTGTGTGTGTGTGTGTGTGTGTGTGTGTGTGTGTGCCCTCACACTGCAGTTGGCTGCGGGAGAAAACTCATTTGCTTGTCCATTTAATCTGCTTCCCTTTGCAGCAGCGGCTGCACAAAGAGGCCTCACTGTGGGATTCAAATGAAGGAGGGAGGACGAGGAGCAGAGAGGATGGAGGAGTTGCCGGTGGGACACTGAGGTCGGGTTCCGAGGTTAGAGGGGGATTGAACAAGTGGCACGAGAAGAGGGGGAGGAGGTGATGGATGATGAGGGGTGAAGAGGAAGGAGGGGCGTCCGGTTACAAAATTAGCACAACCCCAACCCAAAAACCGAGGGGCAGCGGTGCCCTCTGGCCCGGCCGCTCATCAACATGGTCACACAATACTTAGGAAGGTTAGGCTTCATGCCAGATGCCAGCGTGTGTGTGTGTGTGTCAAGGTGACAGTTGATTCAACAACACAACCTCTCTGTGTACTACAGCTGTTTGAGCCTCAGGAAAGTCAGACGAGATGTTTTCAGTCCTGATCAGAGAACCAGACGCCTCTGGCTGAATTCTGCATGTGTGGGATTTGCAGGAGGTTGTTGTTGGTGGTGCATTCAGATGTAGTCAAATGGTGGAGAGGAAGCTGGGTGACGGCAGGGAAATGAGCTGCAGGTGAGGCTGTGGTCAGAGGGTGTTGATAGTAAACACTGGCAGAGAGGAGGGAGGAGAACAGCCCCTGGTTTCAGATGCTTTGTTCTGTTTTCAGTCAACTAACCTATAAAACCTTTATTTAATCTCCCCGGTGACTTCATGATACTTCCCATAGAAGATCCCCCCCCCCCCCCCCCCCCCC